AAAATTATTATAAATAATTTTAATTATTAAATAAAATTGCAGGCAAATTTGCCTGCAAAACGCTTGAAGGGATAATAACAATCAATTCTATTATTATTAAAATAAAAGTAATAGTATTTAATCTATAAAAATAAGGTAACTATCTTTATAATACTAGTTTTAGTCTAATATTCATTTATACAAATAAAAAATCAGTTTTATTGTTTAATATAGTATGATAATATGTTTTATACTTTATACAAATAAAAAATACTGATTCATTTATTTATAAAATATATAATACTAAAATCGTGTCTAAATACTCTATATAAATTTAAAATTTTTCATTATAATAATATTATTAATTTAATTTATTTATTTATTTTTTAGTCATTTGTTAATATTTTTTTTAAATAATTAATATAATAAAAATAATATATTATAATAATAATAAAAGCTATATTTATTTATATTATATATTGTTATTAAAAATAGTAATCTAATTTTTAATAAATTTGATTTAACTGAATTAATATCAATTTTTATAAGAATTACTTAATAATATATTATTTAAAAAGAATTAACTTTTATATAAAAATATTGATATTATTTATTTAATAATCTTATTAAAAATTTAATAAGAAATTTATTATGATATTATAAGTTAAAATACAAATAGTAATAAATTAAATAATTATATTATATTAGGTAACAGAAACTGTTAAAGTATCTAAAGTTTGATATTTGATTAACTGTAATATAATACTTATTTGGTAGATCACATGAGAGAACAGATATTGCATGCATATGCATGCATAAAATATGTCTAACCATATATGTTTTTCAGATAAATCATTAATATATTAATTAAAAAATAATATTATACATATTTACCTAATATTTATATAAATATAAAATATTATAAAGTATTTATAATATTTTTTAAATTAAATATAATAAATTACTATTCATATTTTATAAAATAAAATTTTTATTAAAATAATTTACATATTAATTTTTATATTTATATAAATATAAAAATTAGATTTCAGATTAAGATTTTGTAATAGTAAATTATACATATAATATATCTAAATCTAATATAATATAATTAAACTTTAAAAATTAAAAAATTAAAAAATAATATATAATAATTATTAATTTAATAGTTTAAAAATACTACCATTAGATTTATTATAATATGATAAATCTAAAAATTTTATTTTAATTTTTATAAGCATTAGATATTAAAATATTTTAAGTTTTAGAAATAATTTTATACTTACAGTTTAAGAAATAATATATATAATATATTTAAAAAAAATATTTAAAAAAAAAAAATTATTAAAAATATAATAAATATTAATATTTTAAAATATTTATTCATTAAATATAAAAAAAAAATTTTTTAATTATTATAATTATATCTTATTATATAATAATGTTTCAGGTAAAACTGAAACTTTTTAGCAGCCGAAACCTCTAAAATATGGTGAAATTAGTTTTACCACTGGTCAGAAAATTGAAACTTCTAAAATCTGCCCAAATTTCTGAAATGTCCAAAACCTTCAAAACTATCTGAAACTTCTGAAAACCTCCTAAACCTCCAGATCTTTAACCTAAAAAAGGAATCTGATTAGTATATATATACATATTAAATACGCAGTAATTACAACACGCGCAGTTTGTTTATTAAATACCAATATGTCAGGTGGAAATTCTCAAATTTTATGAGATAATATACAACAATTACAGAAAGTTCTAGTGGCAGGCCAAAGTCTCTTGTATGAAAACCTATATTAAACAAGGAAAAAAAGTATTAGAAGGCTATTATGAAGCTACTTGTCTTTACCATAATACTTTATGGCATAAAGGTTTACCTCAAATTTTAGAATCACATCTCGCTAATAACTATTTAAAAGTTTCATTAGAAGTAAAACAGATATTTTTAAATTGACTTGCTGCAAAAGCAGAAAATTTTAATCAACAAAATAAAAATGAAAATTTGATGATGAGATTGAACAAATAAAAATAACAGATTTTCATGAAAGTTCAAAGCTCTTTCCAGAAAAAAGCCAAGTTGAGCATGTGTGAAATTTTTGTTATATATGGTATTTCTTGGCATGATATTGAAAATCCATTTTTTATGGAGTTTTTAAAAACATTACATTCAGGATATATACCTTCTTCTAAAGAAAGACTCTCTGGAGAACTTTTGGATCAAGAAGTAGCTATTGTGAATAATAAGATTATTAGGAAGTTACAAAATTCTATAAATTTAACATTATGTAAGTAATAAAGTTACTTTATATATTTTAAATTTATTAATCACTATAACTTATTATTCTTTTATAATTTTTTAAAATTTAAAGTATGTGATGGGTAAACCAATACAGCAAATGAATCTATTTGGAATTTTCTTATTCATACATCCTCTTATAAAAAATATTTGTGATGCTTAAAAAATTTGTCAGATGAACGTCATACTGGTCTCTTCTTAGTGAATGAAATAGAAGAAATAATTAACAAAATTGAATCAGAAAAATTTTTAGCAATAGTATCAGATGCAGAAGCAAATATTCAAAATGCTCGTAAAATAATTACCGATAAATATCAAAATATCTTTAATATTTGTTGTATTGCTCATGCAATCAATCTAATTTTCAAGAATATATATAATACTACTTTTGCAAATCAGATTTTAACTTGATATAATATAATAGTAACTTTTTTTAAAAAAAATCATCAAGAAGGTAAGTTTTTTTATAATTTTTCTCCCATTTTATTATAATGCTTAAAAAAATTCACTTTTTATCTTTATTAATAATAGATTTAGCTTTAAAAAAAAGGCTGTAAACTGCCAAATAAATGGAGGTAATTTAAAATGGTAGGTCAATACTCGATGGCATATCATGTATGACTGTGTTGATTCAATTTAGCATTATAAAGAAGCTTTAGTAAAGGTATGTAATATTAAAGTTGTTATATATATGTTCATATTAATATTATATTTAATTTATTAACTAAAAATTATTTATTTTTTTAGTTATGATCTGATGATGCAGATATTCTTCTATCAGCAATTTTATCAATTTTATGATCCTGTGCTTTTTTAATGATGTATGTGCATTAGCATTTGCTTTGTATCCTATTAAGAAAGTAATTTTAAAATTAAAATCAACAATATGCACACTTGCAGATTGTTTATTAGATTAGTTCAGCTTAGGATCACAATTAACAAATTACTTAAAAATGATTATCATGTTTTTCATTATCAATGTATTGCAATATTTAATAAACGTTATGTTAAATTTGCTGATCCAATATACTTATTGTGTTTTTTTTTACATCTGGACTATAAAGGTTAGTTTTTTTTAAAGGAAAAATTAATAATTAAAAATTAATTAGCTAAAATGGTAATTAATTTATTTTGATATTAATATTTAAAAAATTTTTTAACCTTAAATATTTGTTGAGCATGAAAAACTTTTTGGAAACTCTTATTAACTGCAAATGAAATTTTTGAAAATCTAAGAAAATCAAATAGAAAACAGAGTGAATTAATGCATCAATTGAAATTATTTTATAAACATCAAATTCTATTTGATATTGAATTAGGTAAAACTGAATTACTAATTTCTTGGTGGATATCTATAGAAGATAATTTTAATAAAGAAAAAGATTATTTAGTACAATTAGCAAGTAAACTACTATTAATTACACCCTATGCAGCTGGATGTGAAAGGATTTAGTCTAACCTTAGCTGGTTATATGGTAAAAGAAGAAATCAGTTAGGGTTAAGTAGAGTTGAAAATATGTACAAATTATCAGCTTATTATTATACACACGTGAAGCAAAAATTATTATATTATAGTATAGAAAAATCAAGTGATGAAATCTGTAAAATTTTAGTTAATGCATATTTAAATCTTAATGATAATCTTATTGAAATAATGGAAGAAGATAATGATATTAGTGATATAGAAGTAAATTCATTTGGTAAAAAAGATGATTTGATAATTAGTAAGTTTTTAAATTTAGATGAAGGAGCATTTGTTAATGATTTAAATGAAATTATTGAAGATAGTTTGGAAGAGGATTCAGCGGAGGAAGAAGATAATCAATATGTAGTTAAAAAAGAAAAAGAGACTGACATAGAGTGGGATCTAATCACAGCTACTGATGATATAGTTAATAATTTGTAAAGTTTTGTTTTTGATTGATGCATATAATATGATTTTACAATAATAAATAAAGTAATAAACTATTATTAAAATTTGGATTTTAACAATTTTTTTATTAATTTTAATTTCATAACTGTTATTTATCCATTTATTTTTTTAAATAAAAATTAAATAAAATCTATTATCAGAATACGTATTTGAAGATTACAAAGATTATGAAGGTTTTAAAATTATGAAATTTAGGTAAATTTTGGAGGTTTTGAAAGTTTCAGAAAGTTTCAGAAATTTTAAAAATTTAGGTAGGTTACGGAAGTTTGGTAAGAATTTCAAAACTTGACTAAAAAGGCGAAATATTTCACTAATCATAAAACAGTTTTGCCTAAAACATTATTATATAATAATTATTATATATATAATATTATTTAAATAATAAATTTTAATATTTTTAATATTATTTAAATTATTTATTGATTTCTTCTTCTATAATAATTAAATTCTCTATAAATTAAAATAGATAAATAAAATAAAATTAAAAATTCTTATAATTAATAGTAAATAAATATTAGATATTTACCAATACTTTTACTTATTTCTGTTTTTTCAATATTATAATCTAAAATTTTATTTAATCTTTCAGTAAAATTAAGTAAATTACTTGTATGATATGCTTGTGAATGTGATTTAATAATTTTTTCATGATATATATTATTTTGTTTTTATTTTAAAACTTTATCTGATTTATAAAATTCTATAATATCATATTTTAATCTTTTATCAAAATTTTTCTTTATAATATTATTATACCAATTTTCAATAATCATTTTAATTTCTAATGCATTTGATCTTTTTAATAGATTATTAATTCAACATTGCTTCATTAAATCTATATAATATTGTGAAATATCTGTAATAATATCAGGACGTTTACCTTTACAAATACTTAAAGCAAGCTGAAAATCATGAGCTTGATCATTAAATGGAGGAATTCCAGATATAAATTCCCACATAATAATAGAAAAACTATATATATCACTAGATAAAGTATATAGTTGACCTCTTAAAACTTCAGGTGCTACAAATGGTAACACAACATAAATATCATTATTTCTAAATGATTGAAAATATTCTATAGGTTTACATAATCCTAAATCACTAATTGATAAAACATTATTTTTAATAATTAAAATATTACCATGATGCAAATCATAATAAATAAGTTTTTTTTGATGTATTTCATTAAGTCTGTTAATAATATTAGATAATTTTAATAATTTTCTAATCTATTTTTCTTTAATTATTTTTGTTATATTTTTTTTTAAATTACTATTTTTTGCATATTTCATTACTATTATATAATTTAAAGTAGATGGATCTTGAGTAAATCTATATAATTGAATAAGATTTTCATCTGAATAGTATTCTAATTGACTATAACAATTATAATGATATTTTCACTTAAAATAATAAAAGTTAGTATAAAATTTATTATTTAAATTATAAATAATTATTTAATATTATATCTCATTTAAAAATTCTTCATTTATATTCGATAATTTATTAAAATATTTAAGAATTATTTCAGTTTTACCATTTCTAATCCAATTTTTATTTTCATATGAATAATATTCAATAAATCCATCTAACCAAATAGCTTTATATATAGTACTAAATCCTTCTTTATCAAGATATTCAATATTTTTAAATTTATTATAAGGAATCCATTCTAATATTTGTCTTCTATTTTGAATATTTATTTGAATTTCTTGAATAAATTTATCAATAAATTTATTGTTACTAGTCCAATTAGTAAATTTTTGTTGAAATAATTTAGAATTACATTCCTTACACCATTTATATCCAGTATTTTATTTATTACAATTTAAGCATATTTCTTTTTCTATATAATAATTTATATTTTAGTATTATAATTACTATTTTATTTTAATTTAAATAACAAAAATATAATATTTACTTAATTAATAATATTAATATTTTAAAAATATTAATTGTATATATTTATATTAAATACTTTGTAAGTATTAAAATTAAATAATAATAAAAATGTATTAATAAATATTAATAATCGATAAAATAACATACCTTCTTTAGTAATATTTTGTAATTTTTAATAAAAAATTTAGTTGCATTTAAATTACAATAATAAGTACATTAAAATAACTTACCATCTATTCTATCTATTATATTATTAATAATTAAATATTATTTAAATAAAAATTAGTTGTTTAAATTATAGTAAAAAGTAATTAAATATAAATAATCAATAAAATAACTTACCATCTATTGTATTATTGATTATTAATTATTATTTTAAATAAAATATTTAATAGAGATTAAATCATAGTAAAATATATAATTAAATACTTATAATTAATAAAAATAACTTATTCCCTTTATTAATTTTTTATATTTTAAATAAAAAATTTAGTTAAATTTAAATTATAATAAAAAGTATAATAAAATAATTTACCATCTATTATATTATTATATATTAATTATTATTTTAAATAAAAAATTTAGTTAAGTTTAAATATAATAAAAAAGTATAATTAAATATTAATAATCAATAAAAAAAACTCACATGCTTTAGTATTATTTTATATTTTAAATAAAAAATTTAGTTAAGTTTAAAATATAGTAAAAAGTATAATTTAATATTAAAAATAACTTACTAACTATTATTATTATTATTTATATTATTAATTATTAATTAATTTTTTTTTAAATAAAATTTAATTAAGTTTAAATTACAGTAAAAAGTATAATTAAATACTAATAATTAATAAAAATAACTTACAAGCTAAATTATGAAAATAATAAATTTTAATAGTATTTAAATTATAATAAAAGTATAATTAAATATTAAAAATAACTTACGATCTATTATATTATTATTTATTATTATAATTTAATTAAAAAGTTAGTTGAGTTTAAATTACAGTTAAAAGTATAATTAAATACTAATATTTAATAAAAAAAACTTACCATCTATTGTATTATTAATTATTAATTATTATTTTTTATTTTAAAAAAAAAATTTAGTTATTTATATTATAATAAAAACTATAATTAATATTAATAATTAATAAAACAACTTACCCCTTTAGTATTATTTGTATTTTAAATAAAAAATTTAGTTTTTAAATTACAGTAAAAATTATAATTAAATATTGATAATCAATAAAAATTAACTTACAATCTATATATTTAAATAAAATAATTTAGTAAAAAGGATATTATAATAAATATATATTAATTAATAAAACTTACTTTCTTTATGATATATCAAAATATTAATATTTTTATTAAATTATAAAAGTTTATAATTAATTTAATTATTATATTAACTTACCATCTATATTAATAAAATTTAGTAAGTTTAAATATTATAAAATATAATTAAATATATATAAACTAAATAAATATAACTTACCAACTATAATATTATTAATCATTAAAAAACTTTAAAATAATTAAATTTAAATTACAATATAAAGAATAAAAATAACTTATTCCCTATAGTAATATTGATATTTGATATTTTAAATGAAAAACATTTAATTAAATTTCGATTATATCAAATATAATAGAAAATAAATGACTTACAATCTAATATATTATAAAGCCATTTTTTAATAAAAAATTTAAGATTATTTATTTAAATATTATAGTTTGACTTAATAAATTGATACCATTTAATTCTCTTAATGAGGGAGCATTAGGAACATCTGAAACTGGCTCTATCATAATATCAGTATATATTTTGAGAAAAAAAAATATTGAATTAATTAATTTAATTACTGAGATTATAACATACTGTAACTAAGTTTTTAAATATTTATATATTCTATACCATTTAGTATTTCTAATATTTGAACAATTGTTGATTATTGCTATGTATTTACCTTTATCACTCGAAACTATTTCATATTTTAAATTTATTCAAATTTTTAGTAATAAAATCATAAATAACGAATTACAGTATTATAGTTATTATTATTTTTACCTTTATCACATGACATTAATTCTATATTTATTTTTTTAGTAAACAGATAATAATTAATAAATTACCATAGTATTGGTTAATGAATTATAATTATTAACTTCATTACTTGAAACTGGTTCTATATTCAAATTTGATAAAATTTAATGTTTCGAATTTTTAAAGAACCAAGTTGAGTATAAACAATGAAGTATAGTATTTGAAAGTGATTAATAATACTTTCTATTTCTTTTAATGAGAATGCTATCTTAGCATCCAAAACTGGCTCTAATGTGAATTATTTTTTTTTAAAAAAAAATTGGAATATCATCTTATATCTGTCAAATAAACTCGATCTTCATTCCCTTTTTTAGCATTTATTATTACACTTTACCTTTATTATTACTGACAGACATTTTTATTAATTTATAAAAAAATTTTTTTTTTTTTTTTTATAAATTATTTTGTACAATACAACGCTCAAAAAAATGTAATGGGTGAATACATATTATTACAATTTATTTATTTTTTTTTTTTTTCGCATTGGTTAAATTTAATATTTATGTTGTTCAAAATCCAATTATCTAATCAAAATTTTTAATTACAGTATGACGAAAAATTAATTCTAATTGAATAAAAAAAAATTTTTTTTTCATCTTTTATTTTTTGAATTTTGAGTTTCGTAGCATTTATGCAATATATAATAGTTACAATAAATAAGAATTCCGCTTAAGGCATGTTGCTACGTTATGAGGTCACGTTATTGCACATAAAAAATAATCTACAAAATTTAAATTTTTAGGATTTTCCTCGCAACAGCAAAAAAAAAAATAAAATAAAATAATACTTATTTTGCAAAAAAAAAAATTATTTTAAAATATCATTTATATTTAATTTTAAATATTATAAATCGAAAATATTTCTTTTATATTAGAGTATAATTTCCTATTTATTTTGTTCGGCTTATAACAAGTTGAAATTCTATTAAATATGAGAAATCGAAAAAGAATAATTGTATACA